GACAGCTAAAACACTTCAGCGAGAGTCTTTGATTAATGCTAAGCAGTTTTTCGGTAGATTGAATCCAATATGGCAATCTATTTTACAATCCAAACCAAACTCAATATTCAATCATTCAGGTGTTTCTGTTATCTGAAAATAGATAGATAGTACAATAAAACACTCAAAAATATCTATTTTTCTTCTCAGAAATGGAGGTGGACTCTTTTTTTCCTTAGAAACTGCTTAGCAATCATGCAGAACTCCCAAAAATGGACTAGTAACTATATAGCAACATGACTACTCATTAACCACTTTAGCAACCACTAAGAATCCTATCATCGTGAGAGCGAATTTTACACTGGCATTGGATGTAAAATAATTGTAAAAATGATTAGCATGACACGCCAAGCTACAGTAACTTGCATATCAGGATGTTTCATTTGCTTGATCCATCAGAACCCTTTTAGCATCTTTGTCTTTTCAATCGCAGTAATCTTGTTGCTCTTGGCAGGAAAGGGTCATAATTGTATTAATGCCTGGGAATAGGAGCCGTTAGGAGTCACATCTGCTGGTCTGTTTGTACCACTGCACCCCTGTAAAAGCTATCCATGGACTACACACCTGCCTTTATGAGCAGCTAATGGGCCATGAGGTGCAATTAACCGTCAACCATTATCACCTTTGACAGATGGTCCAGGAAAGTCTTGGATAAACGACTCAAGTGCTCTTACAGTGACAGTGCTGTCATTGCAACCAATGGTCTCTAGACAAACATTTGAGCAAACAAATGTAATTATTTGGGCTCCATAAAGGTGTTATGTTACCAAGCTGTAGGCTAAAGACTTAGCAAAGCATGTCTAATGGCACTTGCATCATTGTTGTGCATGTGTGATATAGATCAGTTCAGTTTGTTGTCCCAGATTGGAAAATAATCTGCATTTCAAGCTACGTGTTCCCTCTGGAATGTCCTAGTGGTTTTTACAATAGTGATTTTAGTAAAACAATTTTTGTTTCGGTGCCGATAGCCTTGTGGGCAGCATGCTGACATATAGTGTCGCTGTGCTTTGGGTGTCCCGAGTTCAAGTCCTGGTTCGTGGACATTTTCCGATCCTGCCCCCCTCTCTCTCTCCCACGTTGCTTCCTGTCAACTAACTGTCCCATCAAAATTAAGGCAAAATGCCAAAAATCTATCCAAAAAAAACAAAACAAATTTTGTAGTTAGTATTACTTACAGATACGTTTTGTTCTACACAAGTTACTAGGAAGTTGGTAAATGCCTTACTGCTTTATCAAGCACATACACTCACATTTTGTGGTAGCTGTAATAAACCTTATCAATAGCAACTTGTTAGCAATTTTTACATTATTCTGTGGTTAGCACTTGAAAATAACTTTTCAAGTTCTTGTTTTTGTTCTATAACATACAGGTGCATCTCAATAAATTAGAATGTCGTGGAAAAGTTAATTTATTTCAGTAATTCAACTCAAATTGTGAAACTTGTGTATTAAATAAATTCAATGCACACAGACTGAAGTAGTTTAAATCTTTGGTTCTTTTAATTGTGATGATTTTGGCTCACATTTAACAAAAACCCACCAATTCACTATCTCAACTAATTTGAATACTTCATAAGACCAATAAAAAATATTTTTAGTGAATTGTTGACCTTCTGGAAAGTATGTTCATTAAACGTAAATTCTGAATCTGTTGTGTACTTTAAAATTATAAGTTGCTACAGACTTTAGCATTGTAGTTCTTATTTAAAGGGGTCATAGGATGCTACATGCACTTTTACAAGTTGTTTGAACTAAAATGTGTGTTGGCAGTGTGTGTACACAACCACCCTAATTAGCAAGTTTCACAATGAATGCGGCTAAAGTGAACAGTCTCTCTGAGAGCAGAAGAGAGGGGTGGGGACAGCAGCGCTCATTAACATTTAAAGGAAAATGCTACAAAAACGGCTTGATCTGAAAAGAGCTGTTTTTGACAGGGTAAAAAAGGTGTTTTTTACACTACCATTGAGAAATTTTAAACAAACTATGTTACAGACTTTTCATTAAGACCCTAAAGAATCATATCAACTTGTGGAAAATGGGCATCCTATGACCCCTTTAACAGCTTGATAAAATGTTGTCACATTAGAGAAATTTCTAAAATAACCAAAAAGGTCCGCTGTCTATTAAGCAATGTAAAGCACACCTCATAGAAATCACCTTCAAGAAGCTTTCTGCTGGTCAGTGGTCAAATTCGGGTGACAGGCCTGCACACATTGCAAAACTGGGGAAATCTTCGTCCTCCAGCGAATTTCCTGAAAAGCGTTGAATCCTGTTGAAGTGACTGGATTTTGCGCGCGAAATTTCGCACCGGTAAATGATGGCACTTTTAATTCTAAAAAGAAGAACCAATCTCAGTGATTTTAAGAAAAGCAAGTGTCGATTTAAGAGTAATATAACGATTTAGCATTTGGCTACTTGAAAAGTAGGCTAATTATAAATAAATTACACACATTCAATCAAACCTCATGGACTCTTAGCACACACATTGATGTCAATTTTGTAGTTCTGCTGCGTATATGGTGCTTGTCTCTTAATGTACTTTTTAGTAGTTTTTCTTCTTCCTTTTACTAATATGAAAGTCTCCTCTTTTGAAATGATTTTTATAAAAGACGTTTTCTACTGTACATTCCCAGCACACACTCAGTGTTTTGAGAGCTGTCGCGGCGTTGAGGTGCCGGTGATGACACCGTCACTCATTGTGTTTATTTCTCTAAGCTCTCGTAGTTTTGGTGTCAAGGTGTCATGACACCTGTTTAGTTGTGTGTCTGTGTCTGTGTGTGTTTACGATAGGGCTGATGTGCTGACACATTTTGATCGAAAAGGATATTCAGCCTATAAAGAGATGAAAAACATTGTTCAGCCAAGACTTGAGGACAAGGTAACAATAGGATAGGCAGATTGTTATTTGCAGTTTTCAAAGTACAGATGAAACTGTATTAAAGTGGCAAATATTAGAACAGACAGCAAATAATACAAATCTATTTATATTCATGAAAGAAAAGAGCTTACTGAAAGAGTCAGACTATGATGTGCATGGAATAAAACAAAATCACAAAATCACATCACATTTTAATGAGTGTTTATGTCCCAAAATGAAATGACCTCAGAATGAGATAGTGTTCATATTTTATACTAGCTGTAAAACAGACATTTACTTTATTCTTTTCCATTGTGTCACTCACATACATTGACAGCTGTAACTTGATCGGTCTGTTTGCGCTTTTCCTCATCATCATTTATTCAGGAAAGACTACATTTAAAGCCTTTGTGATGTAACTTTATATGGATAATAACCATATCGTCTGTCTGTTTATAGGCCTCCCAGTTGTTCCCCATGTGATTCTGTTGCCTGCAAAACACCCAAGAGCAAATTAAGAAACGTTCTTGCTTTCTAGGATCACTTGATTAGATGTTTATTTGTTTGGTCTCAGTTAGGCAACAGCATCAAACCACTTTTGTCTTGGGCAAAGGATTCTGGGAAGCTCGGAAATTGGCTTTTGTTTTAGAAAAGTGTGCGGTTAAAATCATCTCTTGTCAATGACGTAATGCATTCAATGCAAAGGATCAAGGTCAAGAGAAATGAACTGTGTCTTCACCCAATTTCTGCCACATAAAATAAAGAAAGAAAGAAACATGCTTTGGTAAATCATAAATATGACTTTTTGTGTCATATACTAAGTCATAGTCATGAGCAGTGTTGGGGTAACGCATTACAAGTAACGTTACGTAATCAGATTACTTTTTTCAAGTAACTAGTAAAGTAACGCATTACTTTTTAATTTACAAGAGAATATCTGAGTTACTTTTTCAAATAAGTAACGCAAGTTTAATGTATTGATTGACAGCTCTCCTGTCCCCATGTTGAGAGAAATCAGAAGATGTTACTGTAGTTCTAAAATAAATATGAATATGCATTAATTCATCTCACTCACAAAAAAAAAACAAACACAGATTCAGTATTCCTCAAAATGAATAAAAATAATGCAACTCAGAATATGACACAAACCTGCAATAATTAAATGTTAAACAACATAAATATGCTTTATGTATTTAATCCCATTCTATTAACCAATGTCTTTGCTTCTGACCTTCGATGATCCAGTTCAACCGTACTAATAAGCACAAATTACTCTAGACAACATTTGTGTGTCTTTTTTTATTGCTGAAGTGTGTTGAAATGTCTTCTTCTGACCCAATATAACGCAGTATTGTAATGCATTACTTTTAAAAGTAACTTTCCCCAACACTAGTCATGAGATAAAAAGTTAAAAATAATGAGAACATTTTCAAAATTGTGAATGTCAATAGGCTAATTATGACTTTTAGTCATAATTGTGACTTTTTATGTCATAATTATGATTTGGTATCTCATGTATGTAATAATTTCGACTTTTCTTCTCCTTAATATAACTTTTAAATGCGACTAATGTTTTCCATTTATGTCATTTTCCATTTATGATTAGATAAAGTACACACTTTTTGCATAATTTGACCAAACTGCAGCTTGATCATTGAGCAGGATTGTCATTTAGGCAATCAACAATACATGTTTTTTTATACTGAAGAACAGACCAATTCAATATTTGTATAACATATAAAAACTCTTGATTTAGTCTAGTAACATTTCTTTTAGCTAGGCAAATCGTGCAGTTCTGATAGCTCTACGAGATGATTTCCTAATGTAACATGTAAAAATATACAAACAAATATGTAAATACAGTTTCAATGTTACGGCTCATTGTTAGGAGAAATGTGTGACCACAAGGAAACAATTGCATTTCCAAAAAGAGTGTTTTGTCTGGTAGCAGCGCCACCTTGCGAGCACAGAAACATTACTGTTTGATGAGTTTAGATTTAGATTCTATTATAACAGTAGCCTATATGGATGCTTTTGGCAACATCATGGTTACATTTCATACCGTCAGAAATGAAAGATGAAACTATTTAGTATATCAGGAAGTTTTATTTCTATCCAAGCACATCAACTATACAATATCAGCAACATGAACAAAGTATGCCCTATATAATATTTCCCATGACCAGCATAGGAAACATATCTGAAACACATCCAGAAATATGTCGTTTTCTCTCTCTTAAAGAATAAAGACTCTTCATTGTCATTTCAGATCACAATAAACAATAATATACTATATAAATTACATTTGGTAGGAAAAATAAATATAAATTATTTTCAGTGTACACTAATAAATACTTCTGTCCTGCCACTACAAGTTGATTAAGGTGACAGGTTTCCTTTTTTCAAACAATTTAGCATCACAATTTAGCATCTCTTGCATTAGGCCATAAACCATGCAATAAATATTAAGAGTCTAAAACATGTTTTCTGCTATAAATGACATTGGCATGTATATTGAATGTAATGCAATTAAAGAATCAAGTAGTTGTTGGTTTTTGTGAACTAAGCAAAGATTTCCATTGTGTCCGGTTATAAAACAAATTTTTTTTATGCAATCTTCCATTTATACACATCAGCGTAATACATGTTGCATATGGAGAGTTGTGAACATGCGACTCTAAGAGCTCCCTTCAACTGAGCGTTTCCTGGCGAAGAGGTGCGTGGGGTCCCTGTTGCGCAGGTTGGGCTGGATCTTGAACATGGGAGGCCAGCGGAAGCCGGTGTGGCCCTCCATCCCAGAAGACCCGGCGGCAGCAGGTTCGGGTGGGCAGGGCTTGTTTTGAAGCAGCTGGAAGAGTGTGGCCATATCAGGTCCCAGTCTGGCCACCAGCCCGGCTCGCACCACCTCCACGGTGTCTTCGTCGCACTCCATCAAGCTCTGCAGAAGTGTGCTGTAGTACCTGCAACACCAAGGTATGAGGCATTAGAATGCACAGTTGAACACGCTCACTTTATCCAGGAATTCCAAAATGTGAACATTTACATATTTCAGCCTACATATTTGTATGGTGTTCCTTTTTCTGAGAAACACAAATTGTGGAAGAATTTAACTTAAAATTCTTTTTCATTTCATGTTGGCAAATCTCCAAACAATTACCAAAAACATAGTAAACATTATTTATATATTATATTATTATATAAATGTTGGTCTGCTCCTCAAACAAGTTTATCGTATGGTGCCAGAAGATTTAAAATATAGTACACAATATCAAATTTATTTAATGTAAAAACAGGCACTGCCATTTGTAACTTGAATGTGCGAGGCTTCCGGTGTCATTTGCTTCCAGTCATTATAGTCGTATAAAAACAGCCCTTTATGGTTCTTGCTATTGCAAACTGTTATTTCATATCATATATCTTATCCTTTTAATGTATTGTTTTAATGTAAACTGGCTTGTTACAAATAGTTTCACCCTTTACTGCACTATAGGAAGTCTAGCGGATTCACAGAAAATAGCTTTGCAAAATAATGTGGAAAGTGTATTATTGCATTTATTACCTTACATTGTACAGTATATTGCATTAGGATTGTTATCATTTTGAACACCTTATAATTATTATATTTATTTTTATATTTTGTGTGTATCGTTAGTTTGGCAATAGCCTATTGTATAAAAGTTAAAAATGTACCTGAACCAATCGTATAGACTTATTTATTGCTTTGAACTGCCATTATATAGAAAAGAGCTGCACTAAAAAATAATGTATTACCTGTTTGGGAAGTGGCTGGGCACCTGGACCACGTCTCCGATGGCCTCAGGGTTGGATCTGGCCACCTCGCAGATGTCAAGCTTCTTGTAGCATTCCTCCTGCACTTCAGCAATCATCTTCTGGAAGGTGGAACAGCGTTTGATGGTCTGGAAGACCTTAGAGGTGATACTGTTGGCGATGCACTTGATGCTGTCTTTCACAAACGTCTTACCCTGGAAAAAACGAACATGACTTGCATTCAGGGCCACGGAAAGTAAAAAGGCATCATTTTGATTCGCTAAGTAAAGGGTTCAGGTCAATGAGCGTTTGTACCTCAGTATTAAAAATTGCAGCAGTGTGGAAGAAGGCGTTACAGATCTCATGCATGCCGTCAGTGTCGCAGGTCGAGTTCTCCAGACATGCGAACGTTGCGCAGCCCACCTGCAGAGCTCCGTTCAGACAGCGGGCAACCTCACCTGGAGGAAGAAGATAAATACGTTTTTGGGAGGTACTTTTGTTCAAAGAAGTGTGAAATTGGACATTTTTACTAGATAGCTTAGGCAGTCCTTAAAGTTGCTTAGATCTTGCTCAAAGGTGAAGTTCTGGAATTGAACCTACAACCTTCAGTTACCACTAAGCATTTCTGAACATTTGCCCATGCACACTCCTAAAAAAACAAAAGCAGATAGGGCCTAATTCAATAAAGGAAATAATACTAGGCCTACTTACTAGGGCTGTTGGCTGAGAATCGTGCTCGTCTTGGTTGTGCAGGTTCTTGATCTGTTCCAAACACAGACGCAACCAAAACGAGGAGTAAAACGAATCCGTTTTTCAGGAGCATGTCTGCACTTAGAACCAAAACCAAGCACTCAAAACAGGAGGTGTTTGCTGATTCTGTGGGTTTGTGTTTCAGGTTGATGACAGCCTCAGCTTTATACAGATCTTCAGCTGAGCTTGACGGCTCATAAATCCCCACCATCACCAATCAGAACGCAGAATCCTGAAAGCTCAAAACTTTCCGTATCTTTGTAAATATTCATGGGCGGATATTAATGCAGTCCCACCTGATATGATTTTATCTCCATGTTAGACGTTTAAATTCTTGTTACAACGCATTTTGAATGCTGTCATCTGTGATGTAAATAAAAAAAAGATACTTATTCCAAATACTGTCCATTTTAAAGTTGCACCGTATACACTCTTAAAATAAAGGTTCCAAAAGGGATTTTTTTTTCTTAATGTAAAGATCTGAAGAACCTTCTTATGCCACAGAATGTTTCCATTGACGTTAAAGGTTCTTCATGGAACCATTGTTTCTTTAACTTTTGTAGCCAATCTAAACTGTTAAACACCATCTATCATAAAAAACTAAATCTCAGATTTCTTATGTTTCTAAATGATGTTTGGTTTACATTCTCATCTGGAGGATCTTGATTTACCCTGTTCAGTAACGATATAGAAGATAAATGATATTCCCCTCAGGCAGGTCATTCTCAATGACTTCTTTGTTGAAAACAACTACAGTGTGTTTGGTTTGGATTTCATGTGACTGATTTCATTTATGCACATCTGTATTATTTGATGCTTTTGGCTGCGTTTCTTAAAGAGGGTTCAGAGAGTTTTGTTGACACCTTGCACAGGTAACTGTGCTAAAGGTACAGTACAAGTATAGGGGAAGTCGTGGCCTAATGGTTAGAGACCCAAAGGTTGTGGGTTCGAGTCTCGTACCGGCAGGGATTGTAGGTGGGGGGAGTGAATGTACAGCGCTCTCTCTCCCACCTTCAATACTACGACTGAGGTGCCCTTGAGCAAGGCACCGAACCCCCAACTGCTCCCCGGGCGCTGCAGCAAAAAATGGCTGTCTTGGCTGCTCCGGGTATGTGTTCACGGTGTGTGTGTTCACTGCTGTGTGTGTGTGCACTTTGGATGGGATAAATGCAGAGCACTAATTCCGAATATGGGTCACCATACTTGGCCACATGTCCTTTCACTTCACTTCACTTTTTGAAAATGCTGAAGTGTTTAATGAAAACAGACATATGTAGCTTGTCAGAACTAGTTCACTAAACATCCGTTCCCATCGTTTGCAGTGCTGGGTCTGACAGAGAAGTGTTTATCAGTGTCTAATCAGTGGACGTCGCAAAGGCTTTAGAGGAAGTGATGTGTTTTCCATGATGAATTTCATTCGCCTCAAGAAATTTCCTTCCCTAAAGGGTTAATTACACTGATAATGATCAAACGCTCACTGGTTTTGTAGAAGTGGGCTGGAGACGTAGCTATTTTGGTTTTATTACCTTTGTTCACACAGATGCCTGTTTGTTACTGTTGAAGTAGGGCAGGAAAGTCACACCCACATCTTTACTGAATAACATGAATGAGTAGTCTAAAGAATAAATACACACACACACACACACACACACACCATAGGCCTGTAATTTTCCAAAAACCCATTGACTCTCAGACTACATGGAAATGCTTATCAATAAGTTCTCCTTCATGAGACACTGAAGTCATATTTACCTAACTTTTAGTCAACTTACCGGAGACATTTAGCGAAAAAGCTCAAATGTGATCGACATCACGTGCAGAGCCTATAAGAAAGACATAAATCAATCATTTTTTATAAATAATAAATGTTTTGCCCTATTATGTGACTAATCAAACATAAGAAATTTCGTGACATTGAACATGTTAACCTCTTTTTTCCGTTGAAGCACAAGAAGCTCTGTTAGTTATGATGGATCATCAATGGCTGTCATCAAATAACTAAATATTATTATTAAGGGTTTAACAAATAGTAAAAACAGTAGAAATTATGAATGCAAATTTTACGACCCAATTCTTCACTCAGATTGTCATGCTGACATTATTTAATAATGACAGATTTTATATATATATATATATATAATTTTTTTTTTTTTTTTTTTAAGTATAAAGCATTTCAGTCTCAGATTTTTAGACTTGACTTATGACTTTACTTTTCTATGAACAACACAAAGCTACAAACGCACATCATGCACGCAGACATATCTTCAGTCTGTTATTAGGCCTTCAACAGAATTCAGAAGTCAGAAAGAGCTTTATTATGATTTTAATGACCGGAGATGGCATCAGGTTGGTAGTTACGAAGCTTGAGGTAGTTAAATGTGTCAAATATATTTTATGGCTACGACTTTTTCTTCTCAGTCACCCATTCTCAGCAGCGTTTGTGTGGTGCGTCAGATGGCGCTGTCTACATGCGGAAGAGAAAGCAAAGAACACCGGGAATGTCACGAACCAGAGACCTCCAGCCGTCGCGCTTTTCTGCTCATTCAGTCGGTGTATTTTACTCAAAGAAGCTCAAGAACAAGGTTTGGCTGGTAACATGGGTTAGCTAAGGTCTGGTTGCGGTAAACTACGGTAAAATAATTCTGTATCTTCCGCGTCTCCGCCGGGAAAATGAAGTGTATGCCCGGTTCGCCTCAGGTGCACGCCGCATCCAAAGGGTATTTTATCACCATCATCTTCATCTCTAAGATCACAAACGAATGCCAACCTGATGCATCCCTTCAGTTCACTTCGGTAAGGTTTTGCGCGTTCATAAATGCATGTGTTTGTACAGGATACATTAATTGCCCTCTTGAGCAGGACGTGAGGAGTATTACATAAGTTCAGGGTGAAGGCTGTGTCTTAACCTAGTGAGCTACCTATCTAGACAGCATTTGTCGGCATCTTTTTTCAGCCCATTCTGAGCGCGTGTAGAGATGCTGACGGCAAGCCTGTTGTTTTTATTTACAGCGCTGCGCTTGAATACTTGACTCTGATTGGTCAGTAACGACGCTTTGGGTGGTTAATTTTTATTTAGTTATTTTTGGCTAAATGTATTAGCTAACTGCGCTTCTTTTATTTTTCTTGTAACTTTTGAGAGATATTTAGAGCGGGAGTCCCCAGTTACAGCAGAAAAAACATTGCTGTAATAAGTTATCTCCAAAATGTGTTGCGTTAATATTCTATAGAAAAGTAATATCTTCTATGCAGGCTAGAGTAATAGTAATATTTAATTTTGTTGCTTTGATGTAATGGACTACTTTTTGTAGTGGAAGCTTAAAGATTATTAGCACTACTTTTATTTTTCTCGTAACTTATGCAGGGAAAACAAAAACAATTCTCTTAATAGTCTATACAAAAAGTAATTTTTTTCTATTCAGAAAAATAATATTTGAATTTTGCTGCTACGATGTAATGGACTATTTTTTTTTTTGTAGTTAAAGATCTTTAAAATCGTCGCCAAAGCAGATATTTTGTAATTGTCCATAGCAACGCTTGTGCTACTTTTATTTTGCTTGAAACTTTTGAGAGACATTTAAAATGGGAGTCCCCAGTTAAAGCGGAAAAAAAAATATTTTTGCTAATAGCATATACAAAAAAACTATTAAACTCACTACAAGAGTTTTTGCCAAAAATGTTTGGTAGTAGTCTATAGAAAAAGTAAGCTTTTCTTTGTAGAGTAATACTAATATTTAAATTAATTTGTTGCTACAATGTAATGGCCTTTTTTTTGTAGCAGAAGCTTAAAATTACTCTTACAAGTAAAATATTTGATTCTTTACAAATGTGGGAATTATAAATATTCCTTACAGTTCACAAACATTGACCATACAGGCAAACTGAGCAAAAATTAGTTTGAACAATTATGACTGAATATGGTAAAATATGGATACTGCATTAACAACTTATTGTTATATCACACATTTTTTATTGCCATTTAATGAAGAAGTCTGCTATCATTTTGTATCTGGGATATCATATATATCATTTACTCACTTAATCTTTTGATTAATACCCATCTTGCTTGCATGTTGAATATCAGGAAATAAGTATATATATTTATAGACCTAATTTACAGTATGCTTGATGACATTTGACATTTTTCTGTAGTATTTTGAGTTGCATGACTTTATCCATTGCTTTTAGGTCCCAGTTTACAGATACTGACATGGACTATGAGAGGCCTAATGTCGAGACCATTAAATGTGTGGTGGTGGGAGACAATGCTGTGGGTAAAACGCGTCTGATTTGTGCCCGCGCGTGTAACGCCACTCTTACACAGTACCAGCTCCTCGCCACCCATGTGCCCACTGTCTGGGCCATTGACCAGTACAGAGTCTGTCAAGAGGTCTGAGTTTTTAATCTTTGCACTTATGACACTTCAGAAGCATAAATGAGTATTGTAACTCCAGTCCAATTCCAACTTGAATCCAAATCTCTTCTGGTTTTGAAGGTTCTGGAACGCTCCAGAGATGTAGTGGATGATGTGAGCGTGTCTCTTCGATTATGGGACACCTTTGGAGACCATCACAAAGACCGGCGCTTCGCTTATGGCAGGTGTGTTTGTGGATTGCATCGGTCTTGAAAATGACGATGTTTTTTTGAATGCTTTATTTTGTGTCTGGGCACTAGGTCAGACGTGGTGGTCCTGTGCTTCTCCATTGCCAACCCCAATTCTCTGTTTCACGTGAAGACCATGTGGTACCCAGAGATCAAGCACTTCTGCCCTCGTGCCCCAGTCATTCTGGTGGGCTGCCAGTTAGACCTGCGTTACGCTGACCTGGAGGCTGTTAACAGGGCAAGGAGACCTCTTGCCAGGTGAATTGTCAAATTTGTCAAATTTTTTAATCTATGCAAAATTATCTTTTTACATATTGTTCGAACTGAAATGTGTCTTGGCAGTGTGTGTACACAACCACCCTATAATGATAAAGATCCACCCAGTGCTTTTTTTTTTTTTTTTTTAATCCTGACAAACCATAACCCCTTTCTCAAATCAAGCCATTCACAAATTCTTGGATGTGTTACGTCACCATTACCCAGGCCACTCCCACGATAGTTGATTGACACTGGTGTTTTACCTTAGACGTGCCCTGAGTG